CCCCCCCCCCCCCCCCCGAGCGAGGTCCCGGGCGTGGGGGCGCCGCGGGGCGCTGGTGCCGGGCTTCGGCCGACGCGCCCTGGGAATCCCCAGACCTTTTGGTGCTAAGAAGGCCCCCTCCCCTTCGCCCCCTCTCCCGGCCCGGGAAGCCGTTTTGGGGTTTTAAAGAGTCCATTACTCCGAAAGCATAAGGCGAGGTTAGGTCTCAGAGGGAGACAAATATGGTTTCCATCTGATCAACGCCATGCGGCGGTGAATAAAATCGTGACGACGTGGGCTGACAACAACAAGAGACAACTCTATCCAGCCCCAATTCTCCAGCGATTTGGTGGTTTTAGGGATCACGGAGACACTTTTTCTTATCTCCTCCCCCCCACCCCCCCCCCCATAATACCCAGGCCCTCTATAGGATTTAGTCAGTCTCTTTTCAACAGATGCTACAATGTTTTGATCCGCGCTCTAGAGCTGAAAAGGTGCCGCAACCGGGTTGCTATCTTTTCTTGCTTGTTTTCCGCCTCACTGATTAAGACACTAAGAAACTAAGGAATGATTTTATTTCCCAGCGTCCTTTTTTTTTTTTTTTTTTCCTCCTCTCCTTCTTCCAGGAAACAAATCCTATCCCCAGCGTCAGATGGTTCTGGGGCTGGGATAATGGGAGGCGCTTTCACTCGCCTTCTCACGGATTAGGCTGGAAGGTGGACGGCGCGCCCATTGAAGGCCTCTTCTTTTCGCGCTCCGAGGGGGCGCCTTTTAAAGAAGATATCTTAATTGTCTGCCACTTAGGTTTATCATATGGAGAATTCGAGATCCAACTTTTAGTTTTATTTTGTTAAAAGCTTTAAGAGTGGAAGGTAAATCCACTAAAGAAAAAAGGGGGGGGGGCGCCCAATCTAAGAGTGACCTTTCCTTCAGCGCCTGGCTGCGAACAGTTGCTACTTTGACAGTAGTAAACAAACTTTCAACGGGGCACGCCCGCTCTGCGGGGTCGTGGAGGGGTCCTGCAGCCACGGGTTTCTCCTGGCCGGCCTCTCATTCCACTCCTTCCCCCCTCCCAAAGGGCTCTCTATCCCCACTGACTCTCCCCATCCCTTAAATGTCAATTCTCAAGTCAGAGCCATGCCGGCGTTAGTGTGTAAGAGACAGAGAGACAGGGGGAGATGGGGGGAGGGTGGGGAAGAGAGAGTGCAACCCTCCAAGTTTTAGATTAGGAAAATGTCAGAGAAGTAGAGAGTAGAGAATGCTATCTGCAGGGGTCTTCTGAGGGAGACCTGGGCAGCTTTGTTTAATTGGTGACATTGAATATGCCAGAAAAAGGACTGGGGTGGGCATGAGTGACCACCAGAGCGAGGTAGGATTGTGTTCTCCTCAGCGCCCCAGTCCCTAAATGTCTCATGGTTGGAGATTTTTGTGTTTCCCCAAAGCAATAACCCACGGAACTAGTTTCTAGTTGGCCAAAAAGGGCTATTTGTAAAGTCTTCCTCGTTCACCGAATCTGAAAATAAGGGGGGGGGGGGGGGGATTTCTTCTTTCTTTCCACTTTGAAAAGTCACCTGGAAACTTGGGGCAGTAAATTAGTACAGACACTTGTGCCCACACACGTGGGTCCAGTGTCTCCTTCAACTAAGTACCCTCTCCCACCCCCTCCCCATCTCTCTGAAGTAGCAGGAGATGACCCAAAGTAGAGCCAGTCTGTTTAGCAATTGTCTCTCTCTGTCTTCCTTTCCCCCTTTCTCTCCTTGTCTCCTTAAGTCCTCTTGCCTCTTTTTCCTCTTGGCATTTCTGTCCTTCTTATACCTTTCTGGGCTCTGTCTCTTTGGAGCCCTTCATCTTTCTCCTGCCTCCTCTCCTCCTCTCCAACCCCCTCCCCCTCGGCCCTCATCCTCCCTCTCCGCTTCCCTCCTCCTTACCTCGGAACTGGTCTCCATCCTCCCTGCCTTCCCCGTCCACCCTTCCCACACAAGCCTGCCTGGTCCCCAACGAGTTTTCCTGCCTCTCCCCACCCCCTGCTCTGGCCCCCCATCCCCCCTCCATCCCCCCAGCCAAGCGCCCTAAATAGCATTGAGGCGACCGCTCTTCGGACAGTGATTAATGATAGCAGAGCAGAGGGGTTAACACACTTCACTGAAAAGTCTGTTGACTGGGCTTCTTGTAACACAATGTGGCCCGCTGCACGCCTCAAGAGAATCCTTTTGTTGTCCGCGCTCATTGTGGCCTCAAAATTCTGCCCACGAAAGTTTGCCAACGCTCCTGCCCCAGGAGTTTAATAGTTTCCCTTACTCATGGGGCATTGTGCAGCGCTGAAAAGCAGCCCCTCGCTATTCAAGTGTTGGTGGTCATCTCAATAGATCTCCAAGGGCCCATATGGTGGCCAGTGCCGATGAATCCGCCTGTTTAAATGGGGGAGAAAGTTGGGGTTTTAAAACATTTCAAAGTTTCTGAAAAGATCCCACTAGATCCTGTCACAATTCCCTGAACTCTTTGAAGGCGCTGCCTATTGTCTCCTGGTTATAAATGATATTCCTGGCCAAGTCGATTCCCACCAAGGAGCTCCTAGAGGCCCCTCCCTCCCGCCCCCCACCCCCACCCCGCCGCCACCGGCCAAATTTCTAGGATGGGGGGTGGCAGCCCCTTTGGTATCCCTTGGGGGCCTCAGGACCCAAGACCCAGGACCCAGCTTGCAGTGGCTCTGGAGGCCCGGTGAGGGCTGAGTCCTTCCTTCAGACAGGCTGTGGCCTCAGGAGCAAGAGGCAAGGCGAGATCCAGCTAGCCCAAGTGTACATCTTGCCCTGGAAGCAGCAAGGGAAAACAATAAAACTTTCCCCTGTTTAATGATAGAAATTACAGTAAAAGTGGTGGAAATGCCCTAATTAAAAATGTACCACTTAAATGATATGCCAAGGATTCAGCTGCGGCATAGCATATTTAGCTAGTTAGTGAACTCTCTACTATTTCTTTTTTAAAATTACACGTTAAAAATTTAAAAGAAATCTTACTTTTCTCTGGTGCAACACATTACAAAGAATGGACAGTCCTTTTATCTAAATATAAAATTCCATTTTCAGCAATTATAGCCTGTTCTTGGTGATGATATAATTACAGCTGTGCTCGTAATAGGTGTCAAGGCAAAGCGCACTCATACAATAGTTGAATAAAACTGCAGAACAATGCAAGCATTTCTAAATTCACAACCTTTAAAATGAAATTGACTGTGCAGAATTCAAATAAAAACTAGATAAATATTTTTTTAAAAAGATTACAAGCTTGGTTTGGTTTCTTAATAGCATTTTCTACAAACCTATCAACATCTAATTGATTAGATAGGAATTACTGATTATAGATCAGCTGAAATCTTGAACATCACTCTTCTATTTTCCCAACAGAGCTATAGGTAAATAAATTCTGTAGGGAATGGGGAAATGGGTAAGGCATTTGGGACTCAAGGTTAGTTATGAAAGACCATTGTAATTGGAAACTTCAGCACTCGTTTTGTTATTTAAAGAAATGCCCTTCTGTGATGTCCATATCGTACAGTCTCTTCTTGATGAAAACAGAAAGACAATGGTGATAAGATAGCGTACGTCACTAATGTCTTTTATTAGAGGAAGACTGACAGTTACCTTGGGAATGCCTTGAGACTGTCACAATGTACTGCTCTTGGAGTTTATGGCTATACCCAGGCCCCTTTTGGAGGCTCCAAGTTATTCCAGATTTCTCTTACTGTCCCTTTCTTTTTGTTCCAGATGGCTGCCAGCAACAGGAAGGAGGGGGAGAGAATACCAACTCTATCAGTTCCAATGGAGAAGATTCAGATGAGGCCCAAATGCGACTTCAGCTGAAGCGGAAGCTGCAAAGAAATAGAACATCCTTTACCCAAGAGCAAATTGAGGCCCTGGAGAAAGGTGATGGAGTTTTTCAAAGTAGGGAGGCCGTAAATCAAACTAAATGCCACATCTTCAGTACAAAGAGCTAAATTTAGCCAGGGCCCTTTGCATAGAGGACTGAAAAGCTTTCTTTTTTCTTTCTTTCTTTTTTTTTTTTCCTGGGCATCTTTTCAGTGTGTGTGTGTGTGTGTGTGTGTGTGTGTGTGTGTGTGTGTTTTCTTTCTTCTTTTCATGTACCAGTAATTCAAAGACTAAGAGTCTGACTTCTCATAAAGAAAAAATGATGGTTTTGCTAATTCAGGCCACAGAAGGGTCCTCGAATGAATGTCATTCCGAAGGAAATTTAACTTGGTTCTGGTGGGATAGCTCTTTCAAGTACAGTCAGTGTTCATAGTAGCGGCATTTTAAAGGGAGTTGGTTGGAAGGGACAGAAATGGGGAGGCGGGAACCAGTTTGATCCAGGGCTTCGTTGACACATTTTGCATAGTTCCGGTGCAACATAGAAAACGCCACTTACTCTTTCAGAGTTTGAGAGAACCCATTATCCAGATGTGTTTGCCCGAGAAAGACTAGCGGCCAAAATAGATCTACCTGAAGCAAGAATACAGGTACCCAGAGAACATGTGGTTTCATGCTTTGCCCTTTCTAGACACAAAGGTGCTTCTAAGGAACACCGTTCATTGACATAAACAGTAAGAGATTCAGTCCCCTAAATGCTTTGCTGTCACCGGGGGATGGGGGTGGGGAGCAGAGCAAGTGCCAGGGGGGAGGTTGAGTTGGGAGTAGGCACAGGCCTAACCTGTTCCATCTGACTTCCAGGTATGGTTTTCTAATCGGAGGGCCAAATGGCGAAGAGAAGAAAAACTGAGGAATCAGAGGAGACAGGCCAGCAACACACCTAGTCACATCCCCATCAGCAGTAGTTTCAGCACCAGTGTCTACCAGCCAATCCCACAACCCACCACGCCTGGTAATTTGAATACCACTGCCACTAAGTGTGTCTCACCTGTTTGCCCTGGCTCTGACTTTCAGCATGACTGTCTGAGGTGTCTCTCTCCCTGCAGTTTCCTCCTTCACCTCTGGCTCCATGTTGGGCCGGACAGACACAGCCCTCACAAACACGTACAGCGCTCTGCCACCCATGCCCAGCTTCACCATGGCGAATAACCTGCCTATGCAAGTAAGTGAGGCCGCCGGCCGTCTGCTTACCGGGTGCCTTAGAGAAGAAGTGGAGAACGGGTCAGGGCCTGCAGACCCCACTGGCCACGCATGTGCCCTTGGGAGCCTTTCTCACTGCAGCCATTAGCTTAACCAGTCAAGGCTGAGGTGAAAACAGTCAGTCCAGTCTTGTAGTTGGGTTGATGGATTGATTGATTCGTGCTCTTAAAAAAAAGCACAAAAGCCAAATTAATCTGCCTTTTGCTCTGAGAAGATGTTAGCTTGATAACGTTGGGTGGGAATGGGCATGTTTTGCGTACTGGTGAAAGTGGTGTCAGAAAATGGAAATAATGCTGACACGTTATTAGATGGCAAGGGGTTAGTATATGTAAATTCGGGTTTATATTAATGTGTTCATATAAATGAATATATAACCTGTGTGTGCATTTTGGACATTATTTAGTGTATATGTGACAAACCAGTGAGGAAGAAAAAAAGGATCAGAAATAAGATTTATATTTGCCTTGTGGGATATATTTTGATATAAAGGAATGGTGAGTTTTCTTTCTACAGCTTATGATGAAAAAAGGAATACAGGTGCTTGCTAAAAATTTAGTGGTCTTTGTCATGGATCATGTAATGAGTTTGTGGTGCTCCTCGCTGCCTGGGTAGGTTGATGTTCTTCACTCGGTGTGAAGAACCTGCCTCTGCCCTCCATTCTGTCTCGAATGTTTATCAGCTCCTATGTGTGCAAGGCCCTGTAGTAGGTTAGCCCTTTATGATGGAAGTTGTATAGGGCAGGTGGACTATACTAGAACTTTGGAGCTGGATGGATTCTTGATGGGAAAAAAATTGGCCTTCCTTCCGGTGGGCCTTGTTGGTGACTTTCCCAGGACTCCTGTTTGTGCAATGCTTGGAGGATGCCGGATGGTGTGAGATTGGCCAGCGTGAGCCCCTGCTGGAAGCAGTTCTGGGGTTACACAGATTGTTTACTCACCACTGAACATCTTTTGATGAATTTCGAGTCCAAATAACAGCAAAATAAATGTTTCCCAGTCTCCAGACGAATGTACGAGCAGCTAGATAAGCGACTTCAGAGGAATTATTCACGTTTATTTTTATTTCATCGGGATATTAGTAGCCATAATGCAATTAATGTACATTCAGGGATTAACAGCCCATTGGTTGGTATTACTACAACTGCTTTGGAATTTTCCAGAAGTCAGGTTGCCTAGAGGAAGTGATTTTGGGAATTAGAAACAAATGCAAGCTGAAATTCTGGCAGGGCCCTCAAGGCCTGCTTGCCTCTTTGAACCTGAGGTTACCACTCATCCTCTGACTTTAACAAGGCCATGGAGTGTCTTGTTCGGTTTTGCAAATTGTAGCAATATCTAGGTTTTTGCAAAGATAACAAAGTTTGTATATGAGAAAATATTCAGAACCAATTAAATAGGTGCTACTCTTTTATTCAGGTTATTTCCACCTATAAAGTGGTGTGGGGTCAATTTATTTCAAACGCTGACTTTTAAAAGTTACACAACTTATATGAAACAAAACATATATACTTTTGTAAAGCATAGAGAAAATTAAAAAGTTACTAATGATTCTCCTGTTCAGAGAAAATTACTCTCTGAATTTTGGAGTTGGGGTGTGCTGGTCTGTCTGTCCATCAATTCATCTTGTTGACCAAAATCTTCAGCCATTTTACAAAGGGTGAGTGTCTCCCTCTGAACTTTCTCTAATGTGTCACCCTCTCTGAGAATGTGGATCCTGAGATGTTAAACATTTCTGCAGTTTGCAGAACGGAGTAGTGCCATCGTCTCCCTTATTCCTGGCATGATGCTTGTATTAATCCATCCCAATCTTGCTGGCCTGGCATAGCCCCATGGAAGCTCATGAGGGATTTTGTCCCAGCTCTGTGTATTTCTTATTCAGTTAGGAGAAAGGTTTGCCTCCTCAATACCACCAGACCAAACACTTAGAGGGCAGTAACCCAATTTTGTGGATAAAACCCAACCTGGGTTTTTAGGTCTGTAAGGAAGTCACAGCTAATTCGCAGGATGGGGCTAGGTATTAACTGATGCTTCTAACCACGTTCATCGGAGATCATTACTGATGTGTCTCTTCAAAGAATCTTTAATCCAACGAGTCCTACCATGGAAGGCTCCCAAGGTCCCTGAAGCAGACTTTATGGAGAACTCTGTCTACAGTTCTCTGCCCAAAGCCTGAGATACAGGATTTGGGGGTCACTAGATTTCCAAATAGATTGGATTTGCAGGAGAGGGGGTGTGTTTTAATGGAAGTCCTCATGCTATAGATTCTCTGAAGATGCCAGCAGAGGTCCAAGATGAAAATGGACAGAAACCCTATTAATTTTATGGATAGTGCCAACCATCTAGCTAGACAGTTGTCTGAATTTATATTACTTTTAGGCAACTTTACTCTAGTGGTGGTCAACAGAAGGACTGGTTGTAGGCCCGACTGTTGATACGGAATTCCAGTACTTTCCACCAGGGCACCTTTACGGATCAGAAATGTTGGCACAGTTCCTGGGGAGGACAGAGCCCGGGGATGCGGCTGTGTGACGTGCTTCTCGGTAACCACAGGTTTGCCTTTCTCCTCTCAGCCCCCAGTCCCCAGCCAGACCTCTTCGTACTCCTGCATGCTGCCCACCAGCCCTTCGGTGAACGGGCGGAGTTATGATACCTACACCCCCCCACATATGCAGACACACATGAACAGTCAGCCAATGGGCACCTCGGGCACCACTTCCACAGGTGAGCCGCCCTTCCCTGCAGGCTGCACAGAGGTGGCCTTTGCAGCTGCTTTTGCCAGGTGATCTAACTCCACTTGAAGTTATTCTAAAAAGAACCTCCTGGCCGTGTGTGATGGTTTGTTTAACTCTTTGTTGTTTCCCTCACTTCTCTGGGGGAAAACTGATCAGAAGGGGACATTTAGTCAAGCTGTACTAGTAACTTGAGACCATGTAGACAAAAAGCAAGGTTGTTTTTCCTGAATTTGGTCACAGAAGTTATATATGAAGACAAGGCCTGAGAATGTCAGCTTTCTGAAGAGAGATTATTAGCCAGAGCTCAGCAGCGAGGGCCTCCGAGTGAGGGGCATGGTGAGTGTTATCAAAAGACTTCTCACCCTCCCAGCCCCTCCATGCCTTTCATCGCAACTGAAGAAGTACCACATTGGTTTGCCAGAGATAGTTTTACTTAAGTTTTTTTTAACGTTTATTTATTTTTGAGAGAGAAAGACAGAATGCGAGCAGGGGAGGGGCAGAGAGAGGGAGACACAGAATCCGAAGCAGGGTCTAGGCTCTGAGCTGTCAGCACAGAACCTGACACGGGGCTTGAACCCACGAACCGTGAGATCATGACCTGAGCCAAAGTTGGACATATAACCGACTGAGCCAGCCAGACGCCCCCTTTGCTGGAGATAGTTTTAATGCTAAAGTTCCAACCATGCAAACAAATGGAGGTGTTGTGTGTGTGTGTGTGTGTGTGTGTGTGTGTGTGGACTTGGAATTCAATAGATATGTGTAAACATGTAATCTTGTTTCTGAAGGTTCTACTTTTGCTTGTGAGACTTTAAGTATTTTTTTTAAATACAGTTAGAATGTTAGAAAGTATTATGAGATTTTTTTTTTTTAAACCTATAAATTCATGCTCCATGCTTGTCTCTCGAAGGGAATTTCTACATGGCTATTTCTTTCATCCACTTCTAGGACTCATTTCCCCGGGTGTGTCAGTTCCCGTTCAAGTTCCTGGAAGTGAACCTGATATGTCTCAATATTGGCCAAGATTACAGTAAAAAAAAAAAAAAAAAAAAAAAAAAAAAAGGATATATGGTGTTAATTCAGTCAGTGACTATGTGGACACAGCAGTTGGGCGTTCAGGAAGGAAAGGAAAATGCTGTTAGAAGCACTTCAGATCTGCAATTGTGTCCTGTGTTGTACCACTGGGGAATGGACTTGAAGCAAGGACCTTTGTATACAGAAGGCACGCTATCAGTTGGAACAAATCTTCATTTTGGTATCCAAACTTTTATTCATTTTGGTGTATTATTTGTAAATGGGCATTTGTATGTTATGAAAAAAAAAAAGAACAACGTAGACTGGATGGATGTTTGATCTGTGTTGGTCATGAAGTTGTTTAAAAAAAAAAAAAGGAAACCATGATCAACAAGCTTTGCCACGAATTTAAGAGTTTTATCAAGATATATCAAATACTTCTACCCATCTGTTCATAGTTTATGGACTGATGTTCCAAGTTTGTATCATTCCTTTGCATATAATTAAACCTGGAACAACATGCACTAGATTTATGTAAGAATATCTGTTGGTTTTCCAAAGGTTGTTAACAGATGAAGTTTATGTGCAAAAAGGGTAAGATATAAATTCAAGGAAGAAAAAAGTTGATAGCTAAAAGGTAGAGTGTGTCTTCGATAAAAATCCAATTTGTTTTATGTCAAAATGTAAGTATTTGTCTTCCCTAGAAATCCTCAGAATGATTTCTATAATAAAGTTAATTTCATTTATATTTGACAAGAATACTCTATAGATGTTTTATACACATTTTCATGCGATCATACGTTTCTTTCTTGGCCGGCAAAAATTAATTGTTCTTAGATATAGTTGTATTACTGTTCACAGTCCAATCATTTTGTGCATCTAGAATTCATTCCTAATCAATTAAAAGTGCTTGCAAGAGTTTTAAACTTAAGTGTTTTGAAGTTGTTCACAACTACATATCAAAATTAACCATTGTTGATTGTAAAAACCATGCCAAAGCCTTTGTATTTCCTTTATTATACTATTTTCTTTTTAACCTTATAGTGTGGTGTTACAAATTTTGTTTCCATGTTAGATAATCATTCTAAACAAACGGTTACCTTCATACATACTCTATTTTATATCCTGATAGTTCTTAAAGAAATAGTTCTTACCGCTTCATTAATTACAAATGTGTTCAGAAAAAAAAAAAAAAAACCCACTTAAAGCCGTGTGTAGATCTGTGCCCATTTGTACCCACAACGCACATATATAAAAATGGTCACATTCCCCGGTTAGCCATTTAATGCAAAAACTCAAAGTCTAGAAATAATCTAAAAATGCAACAAGCTATTAACTGGGAATTGTCTTTTGAATTAGGGCTGGCATTTTCAATCTGGGCAGATTTCCATTGTCAGCCTGTTTCAACAGCGATTTCACTGAAGTATATTCAAAAGTAGATTTCTTATACAAGACTCTCTGAAAGCTGTTGCCTTTCTCAAATAGGCCCTCTCCCTTCCCTCTCCCTCCCCTTTGCACAAGAGGCATCATTTCCCATTGAACCACTACAGCTGTTCCCATTTGAATCTCGCTTTCTGTGCGGTTGTGGATGGTTGGAGGGTGGAGGGGGGATGTTGCATGTCAAGGAATAATGAGCACAGACACATCAACAGACAACAACAAAGCGGACTGTGACTGGCCGATCGGAGCTAAAGGCCTTCAGTCATTGGCAGCTTAAGCCAAACATTCCCAAATCTATGAAGCGGGGCCTATTGTTGGTCAGTTGTTATTTGCAATGAAGCACAGATCTGATCATGTTTAAAGTGGCGGCACGCAGGGCAGGAGTGCTTGAGCCCAAGCAAAGGATGGAAAAAAAAATAAGCCTTTGTTGGGTGAAAAAGGCCTGTCTGAGACTTTTATTTCTGTCTGTTCTGTGCAACATATAAGTCAATATAGATAAGTTTTCTGCAAAGTTCAGTCAAAGGCTGGGGGTTCTGGTGGTCTAGAAGAAATGCTTGCACAGGCAGAAACCTCTGGGGACAAAGACACATTTCCACTGAATTGTGCTCTGCTCTTTTGTTTTGTTTTGTTTTTAATCCCCAAAGGCAAGTGATCAGAAATACAGAAATTAATTGGAGGCTTTAAAAAACAGCCTTCTCTTTCCACGTCTCCTATTTTCTGGTTAAGGAGTTATTTGTGAACAGATCATTGTGATTCATCTCTGTGGCATGCTATATATTAATCATTTTATTCCACCAGAGTTACTGCACATTTAGAGACACCTTCCGAGGTTGAGTGCAGTTTTTTTACGTGCGCATTTAGTTTTCGTCAACGTCAACCTTCGTGCACGCTCGCACACTTCTGCAGTGGCGCGTGCACGCATGCGCACTGTTGGTACAGTTGCCCGCGCAGATATTTCTACCTCCTGACATTTTGCAGCCTGTATTCCCTGAGGGACATGTACCCAGGGAACTGTCAAGAGAAGGGCCGTGTGGTGTGTGCTGCAGCTGCTGGCTGGCTCACTCTTTCCCCGCAAGGAGGGGCGGTTTCCAACTGGCTATGATTTGGGTCAGGGTCGGGCAGCCAGTCCTGGCCCAAGGCTCCGCTGTGTGGAGAGCACGGACTTGGGAGAACTGGGTGTGGCACTGGGGGCACAGGAGCTGGGAACGCGAGAAGGGGAGCGTCGCGGGAGCCGAGGGTCTGTGTGTGTGCGCTCGGGCACGTACACCTGTCCTCTGAGGGTCAGGACTGCCAGGGCGCAGTGGCGCAGCCTGGTTTAGTCTGAAGCATGGCTGCCCGGCTGCAGAAGCTCACTGGTCCAGCAGGACAGAGCGGCTGCCTTGCCTCCTGCCCTCGCCCTAGGGAGATGAGCTGTCCTTCTGAATGGAGCTCCGGGCCCTCTCCCGGGGCCAGCACTGCAGGCGCTGTGTGGAAGCGGTGCCCTCGTTGTGGAAATAATTTATTTTTATTTATTTACTGATAGGCATATTTATATATTTATCCATGGGAACGCTGCAGGGATGCTTCGATGCCATCTTCCAGGATGGTGGCCATCTATCTGTCTGGGATGTCCTCAGTAGAATCACAAGACTAATGGCGTATGTTTTTCTCCAAACTTGACTGACTTAGACCAAGTGAACAGAATTAGAGCTGAGTGAATGCGAAACATCCAAATTACTCTGAATGAAAAACTGCTTTTTACTACAATGGATTTCCAGAATATTCTCCCCCCAAAGCTGGGCTTCCTAACTCTTAACTGGTAAGCAACTGGCTTCTTGCTGTGGCTTACACAATCATTTCTCCCCACCTTTTTTCCCCAATGAGAATTAGGTTTCCGAAAATTCACTCAGACAGTATTAAGCTCTAGCTTTGTTCTGTTGATTTTTTGCTATATAGGGTGGGGTCTGTATTCTTCTGCTTCTGTCTTTTTGCTCTGGGCCTTAATGTTAACAAGATTTACAAAAAAGTCTTTTCTTCTATGACATTTGGCTCAAGAAGGCCAAACACAAATTCTTCCCTTTTCTGTTTCTCAAGATTAAACCTCAAATGTGGTATTTTTTGTTTCCTTGTTTTTGTTTTTTGCCTGGTCCTGAATGATTTCACTTGCTCATTTTTAAACTTCCAAATGTAAGTACGTAGGGTATTTAAGTTCGGTGGTGTTGATGGTGACTATGTTTGGAAAGCATTAACAGGATGTTTTAGAACTGGCATTCATAATGGGCTCTAAACAAATGAATAGCCACCCCCCCCTTCCCTTTTGTATGTGTATGCGTATGTCTGATTCTTTACAATTAAAAGACAGGGAATTGATTGCAGAGTGTTGCTTCCTTTTGAAGTGGTGGGTTTTTAAAAAAAAATTTTTTTTTTCTGTCTAGTGTTAGTATTTGCAGACCCCAGAGGTAGAGAGAAAAAAGCAAATGGAAGAGAGGGAGAGAAAAGGGGTAACTGATGGCTACCAAGAAGAAATTCAGAAGGTCTTAGAACCTCAGCACCTGAGAACAGGGTGAAGCAAAGTATTTACCTCACGTTAAAGAAAGGCAAATCTAGTGTAAGGAATGAATATCATATAGGGTTATGAAGTTTTAGAAACATTTAAAAGATATGAGGACATTTCAAATACTGTGTTTGGCATGGTTACTGAAATATTTATATCTTTGAGACAAGTTGATAACTGAGAAAAAAATGTGTTAATGGAGTTCGTAATGTATCAAAACGGCCTATATACCTACTATGGCATTACTGAAGACCAGTATTTTTATGTAGTAAGTTATCAGCATATGGGTAGTTGATAATGTTTTCATAAGAAAGGAAAACACGTTCAGAGTGGGTTTTTACTAAGGGAAAACAAAAATATACATCCCTCTGTAGCTTGTTTTTACAACGCCTGCCTAGTGAGAACAACAAAGCACTTGGATCTGAATTTTGGAAAGCCCAGCTACTATTATTGTTCAACATGCACTTTTACAGAGTTTGAAAAGTTTTTTTTATGTTTAAGACAAGGGTTCAAATATGCACATTCAATTTTTATGGTGTTTGTCTATTTGCATAGCATATACTAACTAGTAATTGGGTGTTCATTTTATAGACATGGTAGCCAGGGTAGTAAATCAATGACCTCTCAAGTATTTTGAACAAGCGATTTACATATCTGATGACCTCACGTTTCCTTGTCAGAGTCAAATGTTATATAACTGTTCCATTGTGTGTTTGTACAAAGTGAATCCCAAGATGGTAAGAAAAGGGTTAGAGTTATTACAATAATAACCCAACTAAAATATCCACTTGAATTTATTCAGATTGTTCATAATGCTCTCAAGGGACATAGCGACGCTTTTGTGGAGTACCTACACATTATTTATTATCTATGGACTAAATTGATTTTTTGAAGTTGCTTTAAAATTTAAAAGCACTTTTGCTTAATATAAAAGCCCTTTAATTTTAACTGACAGATCAATTCTGAAACTTTATTTTGAAAAGAAAATGGGGAAGAATTTGTGTCTTTCGAATTAAAAGAAGTGAAAAAAATAAACCAGACATTCTAAAAAAAATAGAAGAAACCCGATTTTTAG